TTTATAATAGAAAATACCTCTTATCTCTAAATATATAATAGACAAAAGAGCTATATAAAGCTCATCGACAAACTGAAGGTAACTTTCTGTCTTTGAAAACATCTATTAATTAACGCTGAAGCCATCATTCATTCCGAATCACTCCCTCTAATTTCCTGCAGCCTTTGCTCCGCTACATTTAGTACGGCACAAACAGGGCACGCTAATTTGTGTGCTTACTAGCGACACATTGGCCGTATAAATGAGCACCATTTGCCAAAATATGAGGTGAACATCAAAGTCTGCTGGCTATATGAGACTGGCTTGTAATATGGTTGAACAAGGTAAACATATATTTTGAGCTCAATCCATGCAAGAGAAGGGGTAATAAAGATCGATAAAATAAGGTATGAGCACAAAACGAGATTGAAGTTGGGAAAGATATGATTGTTTTCTATGTCAAGTTCGAACCAACGTCAACTGCAGCATCCGGGTTTCAGCAACAGGACGCCATTAGCCGTGTCATGACACAGGACCAGCCGAACAATGCAGAGTAGCATAGCGATGACATATCTGATAAAGCCGCACACGAGCCGGACACCCTCAGACCGTTTGATGTTCACCGTCCACCACTCGCCGCCGGCAAGGTCTGATCATCATAACCGGCGCCACAACCGGGTGAGAACAGCTCACATTCAATAGCTGCACCGCTCGCCGCCCTCCGCGCCGGGGCGGAGACGGCTCCGGCTCACTGGTTTACGAGAGTGGAGAACACGACTCAGTTATCTCTCGGTCAGTTATGACCCTTTGGAGTGTTCGTGTGCGGACAGCTTGTTAGTCCAGGGCGCCTGAGGAGGGAAAATCGGCCCATGGCCGGCGCGGGCGGATGGGGGCTGTATTAGGTCGAACGGCTGTATCGTGAGGGATGGTTTACGAGAATTGGTTACTTGATGGATGGAAAGGAGCGTGCCGACCAGCGGTTGTCAGCGTTCAGGATGATCTGTTATAGGTCGTATGATTACGGCAATGTGTATTGCATTGTGTCGTGAGCTACACGAGGCAATAGTGAGATACGGGTTTGACCAAACCAAAGTTCAAATCCTTTGCTTTTGCTAAACGTAACTCCAAACATTATTTTTCGCTAAACGCTAAAAAGACACTTTTTGCTATTGACTGATTTATTTCTTCTAGCGTAAAGTTGCTAAACGATTTGATAGGCACATAACATGAATAATCAATTAGGCGCCTTTGAAGTAGGTAGCGTCCTAGATGATGTACTCTTATGTCCATGGAACATAATATAAATATACCTACCTACTTCACAGTCACGTCTCTACAGGAGCCTTGTCTAGACCGGTTCATAAGTGATCAGGCTTGGGACGTGTGCCAGCCGGCGGCAAATACGCCGGCACGTGACCGGAATTCTGGCGCACCAAATCTGCCATCAGACGTCGCCGACTAAATCGAAACGACAGTGATTAGGTAATACCGCCGGAGATTAGGTTTCTGCGCCGTTTAGCATTTATGATGGATTGTGAAACGGCGCTCAAAGTGCCGATCTTATGTAACGTAACTCTAAGATTTCAAGTCGCGTAAAGTCATACAACACACCTATAAAAGGCGTCGTTTTGAAACATCCCTTTCAGTTTTCGCGTATCTCATTTATTGAGATAGCTACGTATCTTATGCGTATTTTCCGCATATGGGGGATCGTTTTTAGCTCCGGGGCGCCATTAAAATGTGAATGGCGAGTACAACGCTTAGCTCGGTGATACCGATAACATTTTACCACGTGCAGTTGCGATAATCTCACAAGGCAGGCGATTTATAACTCCCGAAATCCTTGCCGAAATTATTGCTCTCGGTCGTTCGTTGCTCGTTGCTCGTTGGGCTCAAGATTACTACAACATAGTTGGGCTGTTCGGGCTGTTCACCGTTTGCGTATATTTAGAGTCTTGACCTTTTGGGAGCCCAAGGGTCCAGGGCCCGTCGGGACACTTTACTGCAACTTTAACTTATTTTGATCTGTTCTCACTTACGTTCTAGCTCACAATACGTGGTCTTTTGAGATAGACGAGTCTGTGTAAAGCTTGCAATCTGTCTCACATATCAGCTAACTTTCTGAAAGCTGAGGTATCCACTCCTGGAATACTCTCAGGATAGTCAGAAGAACGAAAGCGTCCATCGAGTTTTCTTCTCTCCGCCTCCAGCCACCGCCCTCAGGATGCCGCTTCAGAAGGGCGAGGCGGTGGAGCCGGGCCGCGTCGAGCCGCCGTTCCAATGGGAGACGCACATCCCGCACACGGTGGCGCTGATGCTGAACGCCACGGAGGAGGACCTTGTGCTCAAATCCTGTCAGTCGCTCTACAAGTTCGCGCACGAGGCCGAGGTGAACCAGCAGCTGCTGCTGCAGTACGATATCCTGCGCCTCCTTCTCGACCACCTGGGTCACTCCAACCGCAGCGTGCGTCGCATGGCCGCGATGACGCTCTGCCAGCTGGCCGGGAACGCCACCGTACAGACGTCCTTCCTCGCCGACGGCGGCGCCGGGGGACTGACGCGCCTCATCGAGAGGCTGGTCGCCGACGACGACCCTGTGGTTGACGAGTTCGTCAGCGGAGCGCTCTTCAGGGTGGCGTCGCAGCCGGTCGGTCAGGCGGCGCTGCTCGTCGGGGAAGCTGTACCCGCGCTCACCCACCGGCTGACTTCATCAGATCCGGACGTGCTGAAGAACTGTCTGGACACCCTGCTGGCTGTGCTCCAGGACTTTCAGGCGGTACCTGTGTTCGTGGACAGCTCTGGGATAGAGCGCGCGCTGGCGCTGGTGCGAGTTGAACCCCCGGTGCTTGTGGACCTTGCCCTGGAGGCACTGCGGAAGGCTATGTACACCGAGCAGGGGCGTAGACGGCTGAGGGAGATTGGAGGACTTGAGGACCTGCTGACTCTGCTTGAAGAAGACACACAAGAAGCGCACGCGGCGAGGATTGTGGCGGTCCTCGAGCACGCCACACTCGATCCAAAGAGCGTCCGCTCTATGCACCGGAACGGAGGTCTCCTACTGATGGTGCAGACTGCCAGAAACAGCAGCGACCCTCAGGTTCTGGCACAATGCGGGGAAGTTCTCGGTCACCTCGGCAGTGATCGGCCGTGTGCACTGTCCATGCGCGAGCTCGGCGCAGAGGCGGTAATCGTCGGCTCTCTGCTCAGCTCCACGCAGCCGGCGGCGCAGCGCGGCGGTGCGCGAGCGCTGGCAGCGTTCGCCCTGCTGCCGGAGGCGCAGGAGGAGATGGTGAACCGCGGCGCCGTGCCGATCCTGCTCAACATGATCGGCGTGCAGGAGACAATCGGTCCGGCGGCTGCTGCACTCGCCGCCATCACCAGAGGACATGAGAACGCGTGTCGCCAGGCCGCCGAAGGCCTGGCGAAGATCGTGGACCGCCTGAGTGGTGATTGTGACGAGACGGCGGCGCACGCTGCGACCGCACTGGCCAATATGGCCGGCCAGGAGTCGGTGCGGCCAATGGTGGCCACCAGTCGCGCGTGTGACCGCCTACTGGCCTGTCTGGGCTCCGGCAGCGCACCTCTGCTCGTCGCCGTCTGCGAGGCCCTCGGAGTGATCAGCATGAGCCTGCGCGCGCGCCACGCGCTGGTCGAACACCACAGCGTCAACCTGATCCTGAACCTGCTGAAGAGCGACTACCCCGCCGTGCGCAGCGCCGCTGTCGAGGCCCTGCAGATGCAGTCAGCCGACCCGGCGGCAGCAGAGCAGCTCTGTGCCGACCCGGACGCGATCGCAGCGCTCCGCCGACTGCGTGCCACCTCAGCTCTGAAGGTGATCCTGCAGGTGAACATATCAGCGCTCTACAGCCAGTTCGGTCGGCTCACGGCCTACCATCGGCTGACGGACGGATTCTTCGACGTGGGCCGCGGCGAGGACGGCGACGTCTTACCTGATCTGATCACTGAGTTAGAAAGACCACCTTGTCCGGGCCGGTTCGTGTTTCTGCTCAACTCTGGAGTATGTCCCGCCCGCGTTGATGCTGCCGGTGATGACGCCGCTACGAAAGCCGCGCAGCAGTCGCCGCCGCGTCGCTCGCCGCGCCGGACCGACCGGGGCGCGCGCGGCACATCTCCCGTCTCTGAACGTCCCCCGGCGCGGCCGGTGCCGCCCGAGGACCCCCGGCTGGCCGCCTACGTGTCTTACGTCCGCCAAACGGTAGCACCTCTCGACTGTGAGCTCCAGCAGGCGGCCGAGCTGGCACAGTTCGTGGCGGACCGTATGGGCGGCACGGTGAGCCGAGACCAGCTGCCGACCTGGTCAGCGGAGCGGCAGCTCTCCGAACTGCGGCGTCAGAGGGCCAGCAACGTGCTGCCCGTTGGAGAGGTGAGCCGTGGGGGTCTGCGCTGCCGCGCGCTCCTCTTCAAGTTCCTCGCCGATCAGATTAACGTCCCGTGCACCCTCACCAGAGGCAGCTTCGGCAAGTACTGGAACAGTGTGTTTGTCACGGACCGGAGTCGCGGCGCGCCGGCCGGGGCGTACGCGGAGAAGGTGGTCGATCTGATCCACCAGCCCGGGACGCTGATGACGGTGGGGACCGGTGACGCCGTCAGCTACACGACCGGCTTCTGAGATCGGAGCAGACCGCTGATAGCGTGTAAAGATACCAAACCAGTAGATATTGCAGTTGATGACGTTAAGACACCCATGCATATGGTTGCGTTTTGTGCCGTGAATATTCGCCACTGCTGATAGCAAAATAAATCTGCTCGGAATAGGGATATTGGATACAAACACATGAAGACGGTACATCAATGGTGAGGACGTTACCACATATTCTGGGAGCTCACAAATAAATGCGCACCTGATACATCACGATCCGGCACATTGAGGCGGAATACCGGGTGTAGTAATGGTAGAACATTAATGTTGGATGTATATGATAAAGCTCATATAGGGAACACAAGAATTAATGCAAAATCAATCAATCAATCAATCAACCTTTTTGAAAAAATCCGCAAGAGACGCTTATGATTTTTATTCATGCGATATTTCGATAAAAGATAAAAAGAACGGCCAAAAGTAGATAGACAGACGTTGCAAGTCAAAAATACGTACAAGGTAAGACGATTGACGAATACAGCTTTCAAAGCCAACAAATGAATGTCACTGCCCACTGGTTTGGCTTGAGAAAGTATGCACGCCGCACGGTTACATGAGATCTCCTTGATCGTGACGGCACTCACTTATGTAATCCATCGACATTCACATTAATCCTATATTCATAATTACCAGAAATGGGAAAAAAGATGGGGTATTTAACAGCCACATATTTGGATATGAATGATGCATGTGTACACCCGTCACTCCCCTTTATATGTATTACAGGGAGTTTGAGAAATCCGTGACTTTGCAAACTCCCTAGGTGGTTTGAAAATTCCCTGACCCGTCAGTGAGTTTGCAAACTCACTAGGGAGTTCGCAAACTCACTAGGGAGTTCGCAAACTCACTAACCGTTCAGGGAGTTTGAGAAATAAAACAAAGGCGGCTATAAGTTGTAGGGCCTATATAACCTACGCACGCTGACAAATAGCCCACAGATCATATACACACCATACTTTTGATTTTAAACTGTTTAGTGACTCGGCCCATGCATGTACCGCCGCTTCATTTAGCCATACATTTATTTAGCTCACGGCCCAATTATATCCGTTCCACACAAGTGTAGCTATTCAAAGTCACTGCTCAATATATCAAAGTAGAAACAGCTCAGTTGGTCATTTATGCTAAAGTATAGGCACAAGTGTGGAGCACTTGTGTAGAACGGATTTTAATTGGGACGTGAACTAAATAAATGCATGGATGAATGAAGCGGCGGCACATGTTTGGGCTGGATCACTGAACAGTTTAAAATCAAAGTAGGTATTTATGGTGTGCATATGGTCTGTAAGCTTTTTGTCAGCGGGCGACGGTTCAATAGGCCCTACAACTAGCCGCCTTTGTTCTAACATCACGGACGGCACGTATGCTACCCATATGCTACATATGTACTTGTTTTTATTTGTCCCAATCGCTCTGGAATTTCTCAAACTCCCTGACCGGACTCACTGATGGGTCAGGGAGTTTGCAAACTTCCTAGGGAGTTTGCACACTCACTGATTTCTCAAACTCGGGCTGTAACATATACACTGATGCGAGGCAAGTGATATCTACTATCCCCCGTCATCTAGCATGGAATAATAGTCACAGGTGTGTGGGAAGATTGATGCATTTAATGCCAGTCAAACGAAAACACATTCACACATTTATGTCGAAACCATCAGCCATAGAATAGGTAACATGAAAGATTCATGTTATCTATGCATCAGCCCATGCCCTGATATCGCTATCACAGTTCGGTACCACACTCTTGAGTATTCATTGGTGCCTGGAATTGAACATTTGGTTAGCCGCTTCAGCCCACTAAGGTGTCATTTTTTATAACTATTTTCAACTTTGGGATTTGCGATAGAAGCACCGATGCCCTGATCTGCACGGAGGTTCAGCAGACTACGGAAAAACTCGCTGGGTTTTCTGAAAGGCGTCGGCTCCTCGTTCCCCAGTGTAGCAGTACCCGGCGGTCGCGAGCTGCCGGATACCGAATCACAGCCCGCTCCATCTACGATCCGTTCCCGCAGCCCGGTCTTTGCGCAGATGTCGCCCCGGTCACTGTTCGCGATCAAGTTACCGACCTCCGCACCGCTGGCTTCAGCGCGTTTCACACTGTCTACCAGAGGCAGCCCACTTGCCTCATATGGTCTCACACCGTCTACCTGAGGAAGCTCACTTGCCTCATCTTGTCTCACATTGTCTGTCTGAGGGAAGGCACTTGCTTCATCTCGTCTCACACTATCATCCCGAGGCATTCGCTCGCCCTGAGCGCCACCCCGCCCACACATTCGACGCATCAGCAGTGACCGATACCTTCGACAGCGCACAGTCGGCTCCTCACCGGTCTCTGTCGTCAGCGCCGCTACCTCAGCAGGCTCCAGGCCAGCCTCTGAGGTCAACAGAGACGTCAGCGACGCCGCGTCGAATCCGACGAACGGACAGCCGCCGCAGCTGGAGACGCTCTGTCCGCAGCGCTCCTGGGGGTAGGAAGGAGTGTAAGAGAGCGAGCGGATGAAACCTCAGTAGATGGCGGACGGACTCCGTGGCTGTACCGACTACATGGACCAGTAGCCGATCAGTCACAGCATGGTATCATCAGATCCAGACCAGAACACCAGAGTGATGGCCCATCTTGTACTGTGCATCGTTATTCACAGTTGCATTGGCAAATTATGCCCGTAAACGAGTACAAAATTAAAATGCATATCATACTAGCGGTCCTATGTTGAAGAAGAGGTTACGCTCTAACTCTGTGCTAAGTATCGATACACATTATTCATCCCACGATATATTGTAAAACTGAGGCACCAGCTAATTGCCGCAGTGATCCCACCGCGTGCCCTACCCACCTGTAGTCTGCGACAGGAGTGGCTCTCGAACGCGACACGACGCCCTTCCAGACCGTACATATGTCGGAGACTGTACAGGTACCGCTTCTGGCAGCGGGACCAGCTGTGTGAGCAGGTCGCACCGTGTCCGGCCGGCTGGCAGTACTCACGCTCCCAGAACCTGAGGAAGCAGAGCGGTCAAATGTACCGGATTGGGCCAAATGTCGTATCAGAGCCTGAACACATATGACAGTTTTCAAACAGGTGGCTTGGAAACGTTTCTTTAATACATATAGATAGCGACGTAGTTTGCATTCTTTATAATCTTATCGACGGAGTTCGACCC